GGATACTCTGCTGCGATAATGTCAAAGGCTAAGGCGGCGGCACTGCTCAGGGTCGGATGCTCCAGCAGATCCGTGAGCTGATCAAATAAAAAAACAAGCAAACAGTTGTCAATTGTTAAGGTATAGTTGGACTCGGTACTCACATCGCTAATAATGTCGGCCGCCTCCTCGAAGCCAGCAACCACCAGACCCTTGGCTAGCCAGGCCAGCAGATGGACGGCGCGCTCGTCGCCAGCTTTTACGGCAGCTTTTAGCTGATGCGTGATGCGTTTAACTTGATTGCGATTTGCCTCATTGTTGTCCATTTTATTGACCAGACTGCAGAGCAGGTGATGCGCAATCTCACGCAGCTGCTCGTTATCCGTGCTTAGCGATAACTTAGTTAGATCGTCGAGCAACCGCTCGAAATGATCATCCAAACTGATGTCCTTGTGCAAGTAACCCAGCAGACCTTTGGCGACGTACAGATGAGCTGTCTGGTGTAACTGCAACGTCGGCAGATACTCGCTCACAATGGCGCTCTGCTCGGATAGCGGCAGCTGCTGCATAATACGGCTCAGTGCGGCGGCAATCATCTCCAACGATGCCAGCGGCAATTCGGGCGTCTGGTTCGCCAGCTCGATGAGCTTGTGTAGCAAATTTGATTGCTGCTGCAGCTCGACAATAAAGCGTTGATCCTCTTGATTAAGTAGAGCGCTCAGCGCTTCCAAGGCCAACAGACGACCCGGCTCCGCGACAGTTTCCGTAAACAGCTGCCTCATGACCAGGTCGAGTATCCGTTGGGTGAAAGCTATTTGCGGCAGCAGCGGCAGCAAATTCGCATAGATCTTACGTTTGATGAACTCGGAGAATATGTCAAAGTTGCGCATGCAAATGTCTATGAAGTTGGACTGCAGCTCGACGGGTTGCAGTGCGCCCAGATTAACGGTCAGCATCTTAAAGTCCAGATCAATGTGCGGATGACTAACCAGCTGTACCAGCGCCTTGTAGATGAGCGCACGCTGCTCCTCGCTCAGCACGGGCACACACTCGCACAACACGGACAAAGCGGCGCGCTGCAGCTCCAAATCCTGTTGCTTGGCATCAAAATCGTCGCGCTCACACAGACGCAACGCCTGTATCACATCATCCTGCAGTGGCAGCAGTATGGTCTTGTCCAGCTTCAACAGGGAATCCCGCAGAGCAGCTAGCTTATAAACCTGCGCGATAATATGATAGAATCGTATGCGCTCCTCACAACACGTCAAATTCAGTTCGATGGCCTGCAGCTTAAGCAGAAATGTGTTGAGTATCTTGTCGGCGGCATAGGTCGCATCGCCAGACACACACATCAGGGATATAGCAGTGGCTGGATGAAAGAGACGATGGTGCACATCGCTCAAATGAGGCAGCACAACGCCCAGTACGGTGCTCTGATAGTTTTGGCTGATGCTCGGCACTTTGGCGGCGCTCTTCAGCAGCTCGGCGAGCGCTTTGAGTGCACATCTAAGCACATCCGCATTATCAGATCCTGGAAAGGTTTCCGCCTTCAATGCCTGCCAGATTTGAGCGAAATGCGGCTCCAGTGCGTCCGGTTTAAACTTGAGAGCCGCTTGATGCTATTCAAAATAATTGAAATCGGTATAGTAGATTTCACCGTAGGGCTTCAAATTGGTGTAGCTTACCAGAAGCTCAATGGAATCTAATTTGGCCACTAAAAGTTCGCTGTCGAGCTTCTCCACGGCCAGCGATACGGTCCACTCGGCAAACTGTTCACTGGCCACCAGACAGTTGGTCAACTTTTCAGCCAGAGCATCACGTGTTATGGCCTCCGGATCTTGTTTGCTGGGATGGAAATCAATGGGAAAATAGCAGGCAAAGATTTCAAACATCTCCTCGGCTAAATGCAGCAGTGGATATTGCGATATAAATTCTGGCATGAAACTAAAAATGATGTCCAAATTGCGCGGATCACGTTCCCCATCAATGGAATTAATCAGCCCGTACAAAAAATCACCCGACATTTTTACAAGCTCTGCAATGCAAACAGACAAAGGATATAACACTTAGAAGGTCAGCAAAAAGCAAAACTCACCTGGCTGGCAATGCGAAGTCAGGAACTTTAACATGTTGAACACCTTGGTGCGATCGCCGCGCGTCTGCGACTGGCACGTGGTGTACTGGAAAAACGCGTGCAGCAGGAGAGGCACACTTTCAGCCGGCAGCTGCTTCATGCGCACCAAAGCATTCAGGCCCTCAATAATGGCGGGCATAACATTGTGATGATCGCGTAGTCGATCCGTATAGAAGGTCGTCAGAAATTCCAATTGCTTTGAGCTCAACACATCGCCGGGCAGAGCGCTCAGCACAGCCGACAACAGCTTTGTGCCGGCCACACGTTGTTCGGTGTCCGGCGATGTCAATGCAAAGCCCAATTGCTCGGCCAGATCAGCAATGTTGTAGGTTCCACCGGTAAGCTCTGGCTCGCAGACAAAAAGACACTATAGAGACCAGCTGATTTGAGTGTTTCGCTTACCATTTGCAATTTGTGTGGCCGCTGCTTGCAGCTTGGATTCGCTTTTTAGGGCCTTCTCGAGGGTTGCTCGTGTGGGCGTTGTCATGCTGGGTCCGGCGCTAACGTAAGCGCTATATTTAACACACAAATACCTTCCTTAAGCAATCTAAAGCCAAAAATATTATGAGACTCAAATGGTGTGCTTGCTTCTTTTGTTATCTATAGGGGGCCCACACACGGTCAAGCTTTAGGTCAAACATGTTAAGTAGTCTAAACAATAAGTTGAGTTGGTTGTCTTACATGTTATGTTCGCTCTTACATGTGCGTGTGACTACGTATGCCACTGTTTAGCATTCATATGAATTAAGTTTAGGTCTGCAAGACCCCCCCGAAGTAGTCAGTTTGACCGTGTTTCGACCGCTCTTCCAATTAGAGGTGGAACTCAACTGCCGCTTTGTAGCTATTGATCGCTTTGTGCAATTATCAATATTGCCACCTTGTTTGAATTGTAAAAACAGAAACAATTTCTTGTTGTTGTGTTTTTTAATGGTATTTATCAGATTTTTTTGGAAAATTTACAATATATTTGTCAAAAGTCAGAACTTACAGTGTACAAATCGTTGAATGATTTCGACAAGTGGCAGCATTAGTTAGGTTGCCACTATGTTAAATTAAGTTCTTGGATAAATATAACCAAATTTATGGGTAAAAAAACAGTCAAAAACTATCCATTCCGATGTAGTCTAATGGAAATAATACAATAATAAAATCACTTAATTATGACAATATATTGATATACTCCAGCTTGCATTGGCAAGTGCGATATCTAATGAAATATCGGCACGCAGAAAATAATTCGATATTTGAAGCCATCACTGGCAATGGCGTTAGTATTAAGCAACAACAATCGCCGCAAAAGTCGCAGCACCCGTTTATTTTAGCTAATGCTTTGCTTTTAAATTTAAACAAATCAATTTGTTCATACAGTTTAAGCTTGTAACTCCGTGTAATAAAGCCAGTATACTAATGTCCATAACCGTAAGTAGGCTGGTTAACGAAAACACTGAGCAACTGGACGAACTCGTCACTGCTGACGCCCCCACGTAGCGCATACGAGATTAAAATTGTTAAAAATGCAAGTGGAAACGCATACAGAATTACCTGCAACTTATTATCGTTATTCTATTTAAAAATTGTATTTTATGTGCATTTAAACTGAAAGCAGCAAGCGGCTGTTTGTGAGCGTTTGTGTGTGTGTATGAGTGTGTGTGTGTTTGACGAAACTTAAACGCCGCGGAAATTTGAGCTCTGTTTTTCTCTGCTTCTGCTCATTATTCTTGTGTGTGTGTATGTGTATGTGCGCGCGCTTGTGTTAGTTTTTTTTTTTTTTTTTTGCAAGTTTTAACGTCGCTGACTTGAAAGAATTATTCAAAAGCCTCAGCGACGACGACTGAACAAGGTCAAGCGCCTTATTTGTCAACGGCAAGGTTCATAATTATTTTATTACATTTCGCCAAACGGATTCCGATTCACTTTGGGCTAGCAACTCGGAAATGAGAGCGCGGCGCAGTTGCACGTTCTTGTTTTAAATTTGGTGACAGCAGCAACAGTGGCAACGGGTTCGAACAATTGTGCTTATAATTAGCGCACTTGCCGTCTGTGTCTACATATGTGTGTATGTATTTAAGTGCTGGTACAATTTGTAGTTGTCTTCGGTCGTTGCCATTGCTATCTTCTTTTATTATTTTCGGTTATTTTGAGGCTGAAGCATAGCGCGACCAATACTTACTTTCCATTTTTACCTACATAAGTGTGTGTGTCCGATTGTCTCCGCCTTTACGTGTGCACGTGTGTGTGTGTGTGTGAATGTGTGAGAGTGAGTGACAAAGCCGCTGCGTTGCTTCCGTTCTATTGTCTGAGAGTAAATACAAAGACAGTCGGAGTGAGAGAGTGAGAGAACGATAAGCTTACGCATTTAAGCAGCAGTAAAAAGAACAACAACAACAACACAGTGCTCATGACTTTAATTGGGACTAATCTTTGTTTCGTTTTTGGTTACAACGACAACAACCTGTTCCGATTTCGAACAGTTACTGCGAGGTGGCAAGCAAAAGACAACCACTTGCGTAGGAATGACCGTAATGGCCAAAACTACAATTGAAGAAATATGCGAGAATGCCAAATTAGCAAGAGACATGGCCCTGACAGGCAACTACGACTCGGCCTGCATATACTACGAGGGATTGCAGGTATGAATAAAGCATCATAGAGAAACATAACAAAAATTAAATTTACAAACTGCCGAAGATGAAATACCCTATATTTTCTCTGAACTAGCAGGTGGATCAGATCTGATCAGATTTTGTCTATCTGTAAGAAGCTGCTAAGTTCGGCTTGAACAAACAATATCGGACTTTAGCTGGAAAATAGCTAATGTTGATATTGATCAAGAATGCATATGCCAAAATTATAATATCTTCTGCAAGGGTATTTAAAACTAGAGCAATCAATTGCTAATCCTCTTTATTTTAGGGCATGCTGGCGCGCCTGCTTAATAGCACTGTAGATCCCATGCGCAAGGGCAAGTGGAGCATGGTGAGTGATTAGTACTGAAGTTATTTCTGTGAGATTAAAAGTTGCCATGGTTCGCATCACAGATCAATCAGCAAATCAATCAGGAGCATGCGAAAGTGAAGGCCATACAACGCACACTGCAGGACATTTCGTTGGATTTGCAAAATACGAAATTTGCTCATAAGCTGCGCTCGCAGCTAAGCGAAGATAGCAATGTGAATAAAGATCCTGCTGCATGGTTTAAGCCCGATCCTGACATATGGACGCCGCCACCGAAAGATCCAGATGTATGGGGCCCGCCCAAACCATCGCCGACCGTACAGACGGTGGGTCGGCGGGCAACAGCAGCAAATAGCCGCCGTACAACAGCAGCCGGCACGCAGAGCAGCGGCCGGCCCAGCACAATCCCACAAAGCACTGCCCGTAATGGAGCTGGAACTGCGCGCAATAGTCGTCCATTGGGCTCCACACTGAACAGTGCACGTGGCGGCGTCAATGGCCGCGTGACTGGACGTAAATTGTCCACCTTAAACAGCGCCAGCAACAACAACAACAACAACGACAGCAAAGATGATGACGTGACCGCAGCGGTCACCAATGGTGCCACAGCCGATGGCGATGCGGGCGAGCAACAGGCAGTCGAGGAGGAACGCAAATTTCAACCCAACAATCACATCGAAGCAGAGCTGGTCGACATATTGGGTAAGTAAAGAGCTCTTCGGCTGCTTAATTGACCCGGCTAATAAATTTTTTCGCATCCTGCTCAGAACGTGATATTCTCCAAAAAGATCCCAAGGTGCGCTGGAGCGATATTGCTGATCTGCACGATGCCAAGCGACTGCTGGAAGAGGCCGTTGTATTGCCTATGCTGATGCCCGACTATTTCAAGGTGCGTCATCATGTCACCTGCGCTTGGCTGAATCATCGGCAAGCCTATTTGTTATACCCTGTGGGCAAGGGAAACGAAGGGTATTATGGTTAAGAGCGAATTTATGGAACAGACATCTCCTACCACGTGTCCGTCTATCCGTCCGTCCGCATAGACACATCTTAACACTAATCTCCGAATACTTTCGTTGCTTTTCCGATTTTGTATATGTACTTAGGAATATTACGTGCCGCTTGTAGTTGGTTACAGGTCAAATCATAGTCGGGTACTAACTTATAAGGCCAGCTTTAATCGCCATAAACTCTTGATAAAAACAGAATTATAGTTGATAAGAAATGTATCTAAATTTTACCACTTTACCTGTTTATCAATTGTTCCCTAATGCTTTCCATGTGTTATGCAGGGCATACGACGTCCGTGGAAGGGCGTCCTAATGGTTGGCCCGCCTGGCACGGGTAAAACAATGCTGGCCAAAGCGGTGGCTACCGAATGTGGCACCACTTTCTTCAATGTCAGCTCCGCCACGCTGACCTCGAAGTATCGTGGCGAATCTGAGAAAATGGTTCGTCTTCTGTTCGAGATGGCGCGATTTTATGCGCCCAGCACAATTTTCATAGATGAGATTGATTCTCTTTGCTCGCGACGTGGCTCTGAATCGGAGCACGAGGCATCGCGACGCGTCAAATCGGAGCTCTTGGTGCAAATGGATGGCGTGGGCGGCGGGGAGGAGCAGGCAAAAGTTGTCATGGTGCTGGCAGCCACCAATTTTCCATGGGATATTGACGAGGCTCTGCGAAGGCGTCTGGAGAAGCGCATCTACATACCACTACCCACAGATGAGGGCCGTGAAGCGTTGCTAAAGATCAATTTGCGCGAGGTGAAGGTGGACGATAGCGTCGATCTGAACTATGTGGCCAATCAGCTGGATGGTTACTCCGGCGCCGACATCACCAATGTGTGCAGGTAATTGACAGTCGCCTGTGGAATGTATGTTAAATTTTAAATTATGTTTTTGGTTGCTTCACAGGGAGGCCAGCATGATGTCCATGCGGCGTAAGATAGCCGGCTTGACGCCGGAACAAATCCGACAGCTGGCCACTGAGGAGGTAGATCTGCCCGTATCGGTTAAGGATTTCAACGAAGCCATCAGTCGCTGTAATAAGAGTGTGTCCAGAGCCGATCTGGACAAGTATGAGAAATGGATGAGGGAATTCGGTTCGTCATGATAGCGTTACACACGGATTTTAACAAACCTAGGCATCTATCTATATATACAAATATTTTTTGATAACAACCAACACACATGGATAGTTTTTACAAAAGCTTTTAAAGTGTAGACCGGCCGGATAAATGTTGAACATATTTTATATATAATCTTTTGCCTATATATGCATATATATGATATTTGCAGATATACACGAAGCGTTGGAATTCAAAAGACTAACAGTTCTTAAAGAGGAAATATATAAAAAGAAAAAATAACAAACCTAAGCAAAAGTGAAATTGAAGGCTTAGCAACAAAATAAAAAATCATTGATTTAGAGACGGGCCATCAAATTTTTGTTATCCCTGAGATTAATCTAAAGCAATCATAGAGCATGTGCACGATCCTTCCAATCCTTTCCAATCGAAACTAAGCCTATTATGAACATGCCTCCTAGCCCATGGCTTCATTTAACGTTAGCCCCAATTTAATCATACAAAATAAGTTGTTTTTTTCCATTTTAATTAAAATTATATTTAACACACACACACACACACACACTCACTTCACTGTCTAATTAATGTAATTAAATTTCGCCTAATTTATATAAAATATAATATATCATAGAGATTAGTTTTTAATATATGAAACATAAACCACAGCCAGAGAATTGTGAAGCTGCAAATGTACTTAAAATGAAATATTGAAAAATTGTAAACAATAAATCCCAAGATTTTTAACTCGAAAAGCCTGCATTTATTGCCAATTTAATTAAAATTCCGTAATATTTCATTTGTTTATATATAAAACACGCAATATGTAAACAAAGCACTCGGATGAGTCATTCTCGTTGTGATGGCAGCTTCGGCAGCGTCTCCGAATCGGGCTTAATTAGAACTACATTTAACTCTCAGTAGGGTCTTGGCGGCGGCGGCATGGGCATCATGGGACCCATCATTGGATAGGGCACATTGGCTGGACCGGCCATGTGTGGATTGGGATAGAAGCCGCTGCCAGTGCCAGGCAGGTTGCCATAGGCGGGCATTCCTCCGCCACCCGTGCTGTGACGCTGTGGAGCCGTCTGTTTGCGGATCAGCTCCTGCATTTTCTCGGCCTTCAGCTTGCGCAGATGCATTGTGCGTCGACTGGTCAGGAACTCATCGAGAAATGTTTCCACATTGAGCTCGTTGTCGGTAAACTTTTTTACAATCTCTTCTGTTTTCTCCTCGCTCTCGGAGGCGGCTGTCTGGAGCAGAGCCAACGCGGTCTCCTGGCTGACGCCTCCAGTTTTCTCCTTGATTTGTGACAGCAATTCCTGGACAGCAGCGCAGCTGGTGCGTCCCTCCTCCGTTAGTTCCGCCAACTTGCCGCGCAGCTCAATGATTTTTGGCTCCTTCTCAATGTTCTTTTCGGCTCTGTTGCGATTTTCCTCAAAGAAGCGCACTTTTTGTGTTTTCAGCGATTCGAGAACTTCGTCCACCTTCTCGTCCAGTTTGTCATCGTTGTTGAGGAGCTCTTTCAGTTGGTCCGAGTTCATTGGGAAAAGTGACGATTGCAATTGATTTAGATATTCTTGGTACATGATGGCGTTTCCTTTTCTGAGGTTGCCCAGCTCGGACTTTCAGTTTTTATCTTTATGTTTAGTTTTTGTTGGACAATTGTTTTTATACGTTCGCAGTCACACAACACTGTTTTCTAACAGCGAGTATAACACTAACATATGCTGAACTGCTATTAACAGCGCCATATTTGATGGTCTGGCAAGGCGAGCCGTTTAGTATTGCCACCCTGTGTTTTAAATATCAACAATGCGTCGCGCGCCAATTTGAATTGAATTGAACTAATAGAAGTACAAACTATTTATTGCAACAATGTGTATTTATGAAAATTACTTAATCAAGAGATTATATGTTTGATTCGGCGCATATATCTGCAGCGGATTCGCCGCGTAAATGGTAACAGGCAAGTTCCACACCATTGTCTCGACTGGCAGCTCGGCGGGCGCCTTGAGCTCGCCGGACTTAGGATTAGGTGTGCCAAAATCCATCAGGGTGCTGGTGACAAATTCAAAATGCAGACGCCACTTAACATCGACCAGATCTGTGCGAAATGTGGGCGTCACATGCAGAGGAATGGGCACAACCACCTGCGTCTGCAGCGTCGCGTAGCAGACCTGGAAAGCGTGCCAAATGTGTTTAAGGATTACGAGATAAACAGAGATTCAGCTGGCCACAGACCTGATGGGACGTGGAAATAGTGCTCAGCTTGCCCGTGGGCGTAGGCTCATCCTTGTTGCGCGCACTGCCCGAGGTTTCCGATTTGTGCATATTATCCACAGCAATGCCGCTGGCTATGCTGGCCATATCGAAGGAGTTCAGCGAGGAAGCATCATCACCGACGTGTGCCTGCATTGGCTCCGGCTGCGGCCGTATGGGCAGCTCCTGCTGTTGCAGCTTCACAGAGAACTGCACGCAACGCACCTGGCAATTGCCAAAATCCAAGCTGCCAACAATGTCCTCGCCCAGCTTGTACGCGGGCTTGAACAGGCAGAAGCGTCCAACAAAGCCGCGCTTGTTCGAAATCCGATAGAACTTTGGAGCACGCCGTGCGGTCACATTCTGCAAATGAATCGTTGATTTATTTAGTTGGATTTACTGTTGTATCAACACCTTCAGGTGATGCCAGGATATTTCCAATTCGCTTATCTCGCGCTTCTCCAGAAACGGATTGGTCGGCGCCAGCTCCTCGTTGGTCTCCACCGTAACTGGCAGCTCGTCCGGTCGCGCTATCAACGGTATCGGCAGCACACGGATCGGCACGGTCAGCGTTTGCACCTTGGACTTTACGCGCTGCGTGGCAATGGTGATTTTGTAAAAGTAGCGTATGTCATGGCCACGATACGTGGGCGGCCCATCCCGCGGCACAAACTCGTTGAAGAAATCTGCAAAAGTGATCGGATTTAAAGGGAACACAAGACTCGGGCTTGGTCAACACCCACACATCTTGGTTTCGCCGGGCAGCAGTTTCAGATCGCAAAACAGTATCTTCGGCTTGGTGGCCACAATGACCTCGCCGGGCGTCTGGGTGACGGCATCCAGCGCAGTGCGTCCAATGAGCTCGGCCAGCTCCGCCGTCTTGTCGCTCGCGGGCGTGCTATAGCTGGTCTTTCGATAGCAATGCAGCTGGACCGAGGCCCAGGCCAGGTTCTCCACACTGTGCGCAAAATCAAAGTTAATTTAATTCATTTGTAAAACCGATTTTCTTACCTTGCGGCGTTGGCATTTCGATCTGTCGACTTTTGCTGCTCCTCGGCAAAAAGCTTGTGCGTGAATTCAATTAAACACTCGACGCACTCGCCCGTGGCATAAATTGCAGAGTCTGCACGCACCAATTTTGCTTGAATTTCAATCATATTGATGGCATTATTATTTATTATTATTATTTTGTGTACTCCAAAGCCAAAACAAGAACTAATTGCCTTTTTTGTTGTGGGTAATGGGAAAACATGCAGTTAAAATCGGCTTAAATTCAGTCTTTGACTCCCAGAGTTCTTGTAATTTGTTTAAACTACGTATTTTAATTATTGTTTTAATTTCTTTTAATTAAATCAGTTTGTTTTTGTGTATTATCGATATATTTTATGGTCTACGCTATCGACTATCAGTTGCTGCGATTAGCTCGCCTTAAATATCGATAGATATTGCTGCGTTACGTTAACGTGACGCAATTGTTACATTTTGTTTTTATATATCAAAATACTGGCATCTCACCCTAAAAACAACCCTAATTCTCTCTGCTCTGAAAATTCATGAAGATTTGCCTTAAGTTTGTGTAAATTGTTTGGCGCAACATTAACATATGCTAAACTGTTCTTAACAGCGAGCAACAGTTGAGCTATTGATAACTATCGATAACATTTTGTCGTTTCATTTTGTGTTGTTATTCGCCCCGCTTGCATTGCGTTTCGTTTTACCGTCCCCTTTGAGTACCAATTCAGACGTCGTCGCTTTCAAACGTGTTACGCGCGTGGTTTGCGCTTTGTTCGTTTGACAAATTCGTTGAATTTCCAAGAAAAAAGAAAATTGCAACATCAACAACGCAACAAGTGTAAAGTGTTGTGCGTATGCGTAAATCAAAATAATTCTTGTACAAATCGGAGTGCTTCAGTTGTTATTTAAATTCCTTTTTTATAGCCATTCTTTGGTTTGGCCTTCGATCTACGCGATCTTTGCGTC